TACGAAAATATTTCATAAAAATATATTAATTAGAGAGTCGTGTTACAGTGCGAGACGTTTTTTGTCATTTTTATTGCGATTTTGGGTCTAAGTGCGCAGTCGCTTTATGAATGAACGCCAACTTCCGAAAGCTCGAAAGCTCATGTATATAGTACCGCGCGGGCTTTCTTCAGCAGCGGCTCTGAAAGCTCGAATGCAACCACCTGTCGCACTGGCACAGTTTCCAACTTGTTAAAAATTTCAGCAAACATTTTGGCGATATTATAAAGTGATTTGTTTGAGATTAGCAAGTTATTTCAAGCTTTCGAGTGCTATTTAACAAAGTTACTGTAAAGTGTCATCAAAGTTTTGAGCGGAACGCTGACGCGCTCAAGTAAGAACAAAATAATTTAATTTTCACTATAATGCAAAGTCGGTGTAATTGTATTTTACCGGTAACTTGTTGAATAAAAACTTTCGAGTTAAGTGCACACTCAACATTATTGCTACTGTGAAATAGCGATAAATGTAACAAGGATCGCAAAAACTTGCAGCATTTCACGGGAATTATATTAATATTCTATAAGCAAAAAGTAGCACAAAACAATAACCTTTTTCGTTTTCTAATTAAGTTTCTCACTGGTATTTTGGAATCACAAAATTATTTTCTAATTAAAACTGTCATAACTTGGATTAATTTAGCATTAATTAAACATCTAAAAGCTCTAAAGTTTACCTTTTAATCATCAATAACTTCTTATACCGAATTCCTAATAAAATTTTAATACAGTTTTAACAAGAGTAAACCTCTTGGTATTGATAAATCTCTTAAAATACAATAAATTGTTAGGTTAATTAAAGTTTTCTTTTGTCAAATTTTTTTTGTCTAAATTCGACAAACAATAAAACAACATGAGACTGAAACTTGAAACGCTTAAGTAAAAGAATTTATTGATTTTTAAGCGCAAACATAGACTGTCAATTTTTCGAACCGACAAATTTTTAAAATAGTTTGCTCAAGAATTTAGAGGAACAGGAAGGAGTTATTTTTAGGGAGCAAAATAATTGAGTAAAGTGATTTATTATCAAGCAAAGGCGAATACATTTCTAATTTACTAAGCTTAACTCAGTTATAGCATAGCTTTGAGTTTTCCTTGCTCATAGAGCAAAACATTTGTTATAGGATTACAAGACACACATAATGGAACATTATGCATTGAACATGGCAGAATAAATGAAATCAGCATTAATCTTGTTGCACCTAGACCCGAATCAGTTTTTAAACTTGAATTAACTTCAAAGTTAATTATACAAAATTGTGCACTTCTCTAGCAGAACTAATGTTGCACTATTAAAAACACATTTTATGCTATTTTTAAATTTTATTAAATATGTGCCAACATTTTCCGTGCTAAATTATCCAGTAATTGCTCAATTGTCGTTTCGCGTGTTTGTCAACATAATTTAAAAGTGTTTTTCAGATTAGATCTTACGGAAATTCTAACTTGTTTTTATTAAAAATATAACTGCTTTATTCCAGATTGAATTAAAATTTTGTAAAAAACTTTAGAAAAGCTCAATTTGMCGGACTTTAATTTGGTTACAGTGCACTAATTTCAACTGAAAGGTTTTGTTAAATATTAAACAAGAAGGTGTGTAATTGAAAGTTAGATGTTAGTTATTGTTCTTCCTAACACTCTAATAATTTTGCATGCAAATATAATAGCTACACAATGAGTTGGATTACACGTTCATGTAAATGAAGGGACAACAATGGTAATTGTATAATATAATGAGATTTAAATACCCAACTATTGAATAGTTGGAATAAAAATAAAAAGCGTTGCAACTGAAGCATAGAGACTTCTATTTAGAAATTATTTTATACAAAATGTCGAAGATTGTGTACGGTAATGAGCATTCTTGAGAGATTCTAGTTTTAAAGTTCAAACGAAAAAGGCCTTTGATGGAGTTCTTTCAAAGTACGTTGATGTTTGGTCTTGATCATTTCTCTGGAATCTATTTTTATCTCTGGCTTTACTTATACAGGGAGTTTCACCTATCAATTTAAACSCTTTTGGAGTCAAGGAAAATTAAAACACGCTACGATTTTTTTTTTCGGCTCGTGCATTGTTGATTTATATGTGAGAAGTGTTCAATGACCTTCTCTTTAATATGAAGATAATAGTTTAAGTGTTAAATTGGCCCAGAACCTTACTGAAATAGCAGTCCCGTTTCATCATCTTGCAGTGATTTGTAATAGTTTGTAAGTGTAAAAATTAATTAGAAATTTTTTGTGGTCAGATTTAATTTCGTAAGTCTTATGAGAGTGAAAATTAAAAAACAATTTATTTTGGTTAAGCCGTAACGTTTTAAAATTAATTAAGTTGCAATACACCACACCACCATTATCAAAATTATTTTGTTAAGTTTGAAGTCGCGATTTTTCCGAGTAATTAAACAAGAGTCACACTTAATTTAAATTGTAAAACAGCAAACGAATTAATTTTTATATTTTGTAGTATGCTTAAGCAAAAATGAATATTTATAAAACGATTAACAATTCTGTCTCTAGAAATGAAACAAAAATTTTTGATTTTTACCACCAACACAATTTTTTTTTTCTTATAATTCCTCGTGTTTTAAATTGGTTATTAGGTCAAATCTTTGTTAATTTGTTTCCAGCGGAGTCAAGAATATTAAAACACAATATCATCGTCAGTGGTGAACCCATTCAAAGGATGTAATCCCTATGTACTTTGCTCGGAATGAATGGAATTCTAACTACTACCAGTACAGCGTATTGTTGCTTAATAATGAAATATCTTGAGTAATTAAGCCGATAATTGCTTATTGTTTGCCACACCTACAAAAACTTMGCAAGATAAACTTCTTCAGACGTTTTAAGTTTACAGAAAGTTTTCTGGTTTAGGTTTCACCTAATCGACTAAAAAGCTTGCTTACGCGTTACAACTTTGTTTTATTTACATTTATATAAAGGAAAATTATCTTAAAGCAGATAGTGTCAGTCGATTTGCCATTAGAGCTATTAAATTTTATTACCAAACCTGATAACATTAGGGCATAAATCATTCATTCTAATGCGTTTCCTCAAAAACGGTCCCAAAACACTGTGTTAACACAATGTRAACAATTCCAAATTCCATTATCAGTAGTAATAATTTATAATACATTTTRATCACCTAGTTTTATCTATAAAATAACTGCAGTACGTTTATTGTGTTTACACGTGTTTATACCAAGCAATACCTAGTCTAGGTCTAGGTAAATAATACAGTAGAGAGTAAATTAATATATTCAAACGCTACCGAAACCGATTTAGCTCTAAAAGTTTTGTAGGTATTGACCCTGTGTAAAATTAGGTTTGCTAGAAATGTTATTAAAATAAATAGCTGTTGGACACAAGTACTAGTTTTCCTATTTTTCTTTATAACAACATTTGGCAACTAAAAATTCTGATTTGATAAAAAAACTGAACTATGAATTATTTTGGTACTTTTAGGTAGATGATAAATAAAATTTGAAATTTTCGTAAATAAAGAAATGTTGATTGTAGACATCTTTTTTAGGCTCTGCGTTTCTCAGATTCTGCGTGAAAGCGGTTGACACAATAGCAGAAGTTGTTTGAGAAAATTAGATTAGGAAAAACGAAAATTCGGTTCACTAATCTTGCTGGAGAACGAAATAAATCAGTTGGCATGACCGTCATCATTTTAAATTGATTACATTTGAAAAACACACGCAGAAATTTAATTTGCAGTTTTGTCTGAACAAATGTTTAATTTCGAAAATAAATATTGTTGAACTTGCTACGCAATGTAATTTCTCYCATTTGGGAGAGTCATCGATCACCGTCCGTCCAAATATCAGTTTTTTTATTTCCATTTGCTGTCTTGAGAATCCCATGTAGGAGAGTAAAACTTTTTGTACAATTGCTCTTTTATCCTTTTAACGTTTTTGCTAGTAGTTTTCCACTTTTTCTCTCTTCTTTAAATTTTGTGGCTTATATACGTAAATCAAGATTACAGTGTACCTACACGTAAAAAATGTTGTTTTTCTTTGTGTTGAACCCATTTACACCAAATTTACACAAATTTTCGCTAAAATAATTAGGTTTGCCTAAATTTAACTAATTTGTTTATTTTTACACCAACGTGTTTGCGGTACAATTCAAATATTTTTTCGTAAATAATTTTTCCACGTTTTTTTATAATTAGTTTTTATTCCCCTTGGTTGATTCGACACGGTTTGAAAAAGCTAAAATTATGCAAACTCGGTGGGAACAAAACACATGTTTTATGCGGAAAATGTATTAAGTAATCACTGCTTAAATAAGATTTATTTGCTTATTTTGCATTTCCTGTTATTTCATCGTTGCTCCTTTTGATACATTGATTACTTTATTAAGCTTCTATTTAAAATTTTTCAACTATGTTTAGAAAATTGAGATATTTGTAAACGTAAATTTAATTTTGAGAATTAAGTTTTCATTAGTACAGTTTTAGTAGTTCAAAGCAATCAGATCGAGAGTGAAGAGCAACACTATAAGTAGCAAGTAAATGAACAAAACAAGCAGGTAATGTAATGAAATTATAACAACGCTTATAAACAATTATGCGTTGAGATTTTTGAAAATGTTTCAAAGTGTTGCTAAATGTCAATAATGTCATGGAAAAGTAAAAACGCTTAGGCGCAAAAATAGATTTTTTTCTGCATGGCTAAAAGGTAAAACTTTAATTTGTGACATTTAGTTATAAAAAGGGTCACTTTTATGACGTTCAACTTTTGAAATGATTAGGTTTGAGGCACTTTTAATTTAAAGTCGCCCGGCGCCTCCACCAATTTCAACATTTTTAAAGCAGCATAAAATAAAAATTAAAGCTATTTTAAGTCAATGTTTAAGTAAACAAGTTTTAAAAAAATGTACACACAATGTTTATTTTTTATAAAATTGTGCAAACCGAAAAACTTTATTGAATCATTTATAGTGTAGAGGTTTTCCTGCAAACTTCTAATTGCCTTAGTTTCTAAGTTAGGATTTTAAGTGGCTACACTTGAGTGAAAATAGTTTTTATCAGCTTTACCTGAAAATCACTCTTAACACACCAACTTATCAATCGTGGAATCTCATCGCGTATCTGGAATTTCATTACTTTTAACTTCCTTCGATCTTTCTTTAGTGAGTTTAGATTAATTCTATTTATGGTTATCAAAAGGCTTTCAGGATTTTATCTATTCATGGTTTTGATAACGTTATATAGTTCGACTTATTTTCGAGTTACTGCCTCAATCTGAAGTGTAGACTTTGGCGTGATAAGACATTCTTTGAACTGGTGCTAAGATTAACTCTCTCAACTCTCTACGGCAAACTTTGATCCTCTTAAAAACCTGAACTTGAGAAATTAAACTTATATTTTTGAGCAGCGTTAGACACGAGGGAATTTAGCCAGTCGTTGTTGGATACCTTTTTATTTAAAATAGCTGAAAGTAATTTTTGAATAAAAATATTTTTTCAGAAATTTTATTTAAATTTCCAACACTTGCAACATTTTGCTGTTTTCACAACATAACATTTTTTTAAACCAAATATATAAAAAAATCTGTGGATAACTGGACTTTATTAAAAAATTTGGGATCAGTAGACTCGCATTATTATGTAGATAAAAAGAGAGTTAACAGCATTGTTAGAAAATGAAGGGGTATATTTTATAATTGAATATCACTAATCACAATGTTTAGTCAAATTTATTTGAAAGTTCTTTTTTTGTTACTTTCTCATTTTTGATCTGCTGTAGTTAACAAAAAATTGTTACAATTTTCGATTTTAGAACAAAGAAATGAGTGAAAGCTTTTATGAAATTTTTTTTTAAATAAAATTGATTTAGTTTAAATATGATAAATTATATTGCCAGGGTTTAATTTTACAAGTGATAAACACTATTTTGAGTAAGTTTGATTTTTGCCAAGTGTTGTTTAATTCAAAAATGTTGAGTATTTGAAGCGATATCTGCACTTTTTTATATTATTTGAAAAACGTATCTGAAGTACATTATTAAGTTCAGATTCGTCGAATTTTTCATTAAAAATGTTTTTTCTGTTTTCTTGACGGTACGTTCTATTGCTTTTTACCCGTCGATATTTAATTATTATATACAGGGTCGCTAAAAAGTATGGATACAGTTATGGATACAGTTGGATATTATAAAAACTGTTCATCAAAACTTAAGGTGTATGCCTAAACTTCTATCTCCATTTGTTCTGGTATCTCCAGAAAGGGCTAACTTGATTTTTTTTTAATGGCAAGAAGGTTCAAATTTAATAATTTTAAGAAGAGCATTTTTATCTGAGTTCTTTGATGTAACACATGCATACCTTATTTTAATCGAAAATTATCGAACTAATTAAATTTTGATAAATGTAAATTTTTTTGGCTTTGGAAATGTCTTTATCTATCGTTAAAATTAATTGTTTTTCAAAAAAATTCTTCAACAGGCCAATTTTGTTTTTTAAAAGTTTACATTCTAGTATGAAATAAAAAATTTTAGCTTCATTTATTTTCGAGCGATGACTCCATTGATTTTTCTTTAAATGAAAACCCAGTATTTTTTTACTGATCAAATTTGCGGTATATTTTTACTTTTCGAATACAGATATTTACTCAAAAAAATTATTTATCCTATAACAAATTTTTTCAATTTAATATTTAGTAGCCTGATTGCGTAGAAAATGGTTTATAGGACACAGGAAAATAAAACTTTAAATTCGTGGCGACGAAGGGCTATTATATTTTTCAAGGACAATAAACACAAAATAGAGAATTTAATATTTCGTTGTTTTTTCTGAAAAAATTTATAACTTTGATGCTTAAATTCTTCATTAAAAAAATATACTTAAATTATAATTAATTTTTGTATCAACTAAATATTAAACAATAGTGTCCAGTATAGATAAAGTCTATATTTTAACAAATAAATAATTAAGATTCATATATTTTCATAATACGAGTATGAGTACGAGTCGAGTTTTTTCAGCTTTCAGTTCAACTTTAAAATTTAATTGCGAATTGATAAACGCAAGGGTTTTTTGTGTGTTGCAAACGGTTTTATTTGTTTTTTTACACAATAAAGTAAACAGTGTTTGTTATTTCAGGCAATGCCACGTGAGCCACACCCTCGACTAGTCATGGATATCTTCCAAAAGGCGAAAGATCCGCAAAAAAATAAATTATTATCCACCCTTGGCTGATCCTACCACCTRGACAATGGACTCCAACACAACCAAGAATGAAACCTTCCTCTTCGACTGCGAGTTGGTCAACCCCAACAGCACCCTCGCCAACGTGTACTTTCTCAGTGCAGTGTATTCCATGTACGCAATCATTTTCGTGGTGGCCCTAATCGGTAACAGCTTCGTGTGCTACATCGTTCTCTCGTCTCCGCCGATGCGAACAGTGACGAACTACTTCATCCTGAACTTAGCCATCGGTGACGTCCTCATCACGCTCCTCTGTGTCCCTTTCACCTCCGTCTCCCTCCTGAAGCAGTATTGGCCCTTCGGCAGCATCCTTTGTCCCGTGGTCAACTACTCGCAAGCATTGTCCGTTTTCGTGAGTGCTTACACTCTCGTCGCCATCAGCATCGACAAGTACATGATCATCATGTGGCCTCTGAAGCCGAGGATCTCGAAGAGATTCGCAACGTACATTATCGCGCTGGTGTGGCTAATAGCCGGAATCACGGTTTTACCCAGTGCCACATTRACGACCCTTATAAACGACGAGGAGATCTTAGGGACGAGCGCCTACGAACAATGCGACAAGTAAGCCAGATTTTGTGGTAACCTAAGTGTCGCACTTGCTGAAGAATTTAAATAGCGCGGAGTATCGATTTTACGGTTTGCTGACACTTTAATAAGACAGCATTGAGGGAATTTAATCAAATTATATTATTTTAAATCACAGAAATGGACTTTATTGCACATTTGTGTTTTATTGCCTTGAAAAATTTAAATATTTACAGGTGTTTGGTGCGTTTTCACAATACGTTCAATTTTCACCGTTGGCAGCTGTAAAACGCTATCAGCCTTTTTATTACAGTTCGATACTAAGATAAAAACGTTTCGGTCACTGAAAACACAATTCAGAGTGTATCAAATTTTATTTTGTTCCCAAACTGTGCACATGTTTATTTTGTCATAATCAAAAATTTAGCTTTGAGCTCGACTTGCTTCCAATTAGGATTTTTTGCTGGAAAGAAAGTCGCTGCACACTTAAGAGTTTTTAAACTTCCATTAACTATGAGACGGTGTTTAGCTCCTGGCAATCATTTTTTATACAAATATGTGAGATTATTTTAAAAATTCTTGGAATAATAGAACGCTTTTGAGTGTTGACACTTTTGAAAGAGTTTATTAACTTTTTTCTCTCTTACTGCTCGATACATAAAATTTCTTTTGTGAGAGCATTATGAATCTACGCTTTTTCTGAAGCACAAATGTAAATCACGCAAATAATACAAATTTAATTAAATTTCTTTTATTAAAAGTTTTTTGTCTCTTATTTATTACTCTGTTACATTGTTATTTTTTTAACAGTTAAAAATAATATAGTGATAAAATTGCAAGTTAAAATTAATAAGGTTTTTTTCAGTTTTTAATTTCTTTTTAATTTATACAAGGTGCTACGTTTTTATTGTTACAAATTTAAACAGGTGATATACTCTTTTTCATATTAATGAAAATCAAGTAGGTTGTGGAAGTCCAAATGCATCTTTAATTTAAAGGCCGATTCACACAAAAAGTGTCATTAATGTCATTCAGAACAAATCTAGTCACATCAATGATGACAAAAATCTTCATGTTTACTGTCCCATGTTAATTACGTTGTTTGTTTTAATTATTTTATGCTACCTGGGGTACACATTTATTTGGAAAAATAATTTTTGGGGAAGATTGAGTTTAGGATTGTTTGAATTTTCGCATGGTTGCTACCTTAAAATGATTTCTTTCAACGACTACTTTGATTAAWTCATTAATATGAAAACGAGTATAGAATATTTAATTTTAATACAAAAGTTTCCTATGTATCGAAAAATGTTATGTAAGGGGGCTACATTCTCTGAAAGGAGTGGGTTTTTGATGAGTTTTTTCCACTATCTCAAAATAGGTAAAATTACAAAAATTGGTACAGCTGATAACCTTTAAACACCTGAACGAATTCAAATATCAAATGTCAAGTTTTTTATTTATGGGTGTCCTAAACTGGAGGAGTTTTGAGTAAAACGGATGATTTAATTAAATTTTTATGCTGTGCAGGGTTAGTAACATAATTTTAAAATGAGTAAGTTGTAAGAGTAAGTTGTATCAAAAAACGCAAGAGACCTTCTTTTTGTGAAAAACTATGGAATTTAGAATTTTGCGGCTGAAAGTGGCAAGGAACTTCAGCTAAAATAGAGTACTTTTTATCCTAAACCTCACAGTTTAGGACGTTTCTGATTAAAACTTTCGACAATTTTTCTTTAAATTTGTTTAGATGTATAAAAGTAATGAACTGTACCAAACTTTTTATAATTTTATTTAAAATGGTTTTTGAAATATTGTACGAAATCCATTAAAACATGCACCCCTTTCGGGCAGTGTAGCTCCGTTACATACACTCACCGGCAAAATTATTGCATCACATGGGAAAAGTGATTTTTTATTGAAATAACGCTTAAAAAATAAATGCATCAAAAATTAATTAATTAACTAATTKCTGTTAAGTTAAACTAAAATTACGATATAAACTTCAACAATTAAACTACAATTTAAAGATTGTCAAAAGAAACAAAAAAGCGAATTCAGTTCTTTAGCTTAGATAAGCTTTTCTTACATTCAGAGGCAACCATTAATACCTAGTATTGCCTCCTTGAACCTGAAAAGAAGCTCAGTTTTTTATTGTTGCCTTTCGAAAATMAGCGGTGATTTTGATCAATTGACATTTATTGAGTAAACAATGAATTGTTTTTGAAAAATCCATAGTCGACTGAGTTACTTGATAATGCTACTATCCTATATCATCAATTTAGTACTATTTTCAGAACCATTTAACCATTTTAAATCTTAAATATCTTAAATACATAAATACATGTTCATAGGAAACTTTTATCTTAAAACTGAATATTCTATCACTTGTTTAAATTTGTAACATTAAATACGAAACACCCTGTATTTCACCAAATTGAAAACAGGGCGATTTTAAAAATGCAATTTCAAATATTTTAACAGGTAGAGCTCAAAAGAAGTCAAAGTAACTCAACTTGCCTTAACCGAATGTTAATAGTTTTACAGAGAATTTTCAACGTCGAATTTCACATTTGGGGCTCTTCAAAATCAAAAATATCATTGTTTTAAAAAAATTTCGTTAAAATTAGCAAAAATAGGCACACAGAAAAGTGTCCTCATATAAAAAAAAATTATAAAACGGTAAAAATCAATTTTGTTGTTGAAGATATCTCCCAATTTTATTACCTCAAATGATACCGATTACTAGCAATGTAACTTTAGGATAAAGTACTCAAAAACTTCAAACTTCGTTTATATTGTTTTTTCGACGCATAGTGGGAGCTGCACCTTCTATATCTTAGAAACTATAAACATTCGAATAAAACTAATCACCCAGTACATAAGTCGATCTATTTATTTAAATTAACTTTTGAAAGTTGCCCGTTTTGTAAACTCTTAATACGATGAAACTTCTTTATCAATTATGATGAGTCAATAACTTTATTAATACACTGTATAGAGCTTTGGAGAATTTGGAGATAAAAGCTTCCAAACTTAGTTAAAACAGAACGGGCAAATTAGCAGTAACTGAGAAAATAAGCGACACAGTATTTTTTTATAAAAACACAGAAGTATTTAGTTGACATTTTCTCTACATTCGAAATACAAAAATCAATTTTTAAACCTTCTTAGATAATTGCATATTTATGAAYCTAGAATTAAAAACGACAAGAGCAACGAGTAATAGTTTCATGTATGTACATACTAAATCATGTAACTTCATTTGTGTTATAACGATACTCACAAAATTTATTAATGAAGGACCCTTCCGCACGTTGCTCTATGTCAGACGAAATTTTACATCATGTTTTGGATGAAATTATGCTTCCTTTCATAAATTAATTAAACAAAGTATTGTTTCCGTCTTATTGGAATAAAGATTTAATTGTTGCACTAATTAAAATAATTATAAGCATACAAAGAAAATAATGAATTTGGAATTGGGAGCGAAATTACATGCTACGTCGGCATAATGAGGATATTCAATGCGAATTTTTCGTTGTTCCAAATATAAAGTCGCAATAATATTTACGTTTTCTTGTTGACAAATTGAAATCATTTTAACAAATATTACATATTGCGGCTATTTATTATACAAGAACAGTTGATTGACAATTGTTTATTTTACTAATTCTTCAAACTAAACAACAGATGTAGAGTTTCAATGAACATATTTTAATTGGGATTAATTCAACACCAATCAATCTTCCTAATCAGCACGATTTTGCCTGAACATTTATTAATATTATTCTCGGGAAACGAAAATTAGATTCATTGTTGGGATAATGTAAACATATTTAGAACCTTCACGGCCTTCATGTTTCCAATGTTACAGGTAATAACAATCTCGTGTCAGGTTTCGATGTTTTACATCTGTCAATGAACTTTTAATATTGCAAAATTTATCACGTTTAATTAATGCTGCGATGAAAAATTTCAGTCAATTTCAGGCCGATAGCACGTGCCCAACACACAATTTTCGCAACTCATTTCATTTTTTCAGTAATATTACAGTCAGAAATAAGCAGTACACACTTAATGAATGCAAACAATTTTTTGGTTTTTTCTTTTTTATTCTTTATATTTTTCAAATTTTAAGTAAATGTTTTTAAAGTCACCGAAAAGCTCTTTAGCAAATTAGTCACGTATCTTGTCTTTGTAATTTTCTAAATAACATGTCGTTTCAACAAGTTTTATCAAGTATAATGTTTTATCTCTTAAAGCACTGAGCCATGTTCATGTAGCAATATGAAGRATTTTGTTGAAATTTTTTATGCTTTTATGAACGGCATCCTTGATTTCATAAGTGAGAGAACAATCAAAGTGTGATGTCATCATGTGATGTCTTTATTAAAACTACATTTAGACGATGATGGATGAGATGTGTTTCTAATATTGAACCAAAATCGCGCCTGGCTTTTAGGACAAATTTATCTCAAATTTCAAACAATATAAATTAATTTATTTTGAGTTATTAGTTTTTATATTTTAATTTGTGTAGGTACTTAATTTTTATATTATGCCGAGATGAAGTAATATTGAAACAACTCAATTTTATTTTAGTAAAGTTGCTACCAGAAGAGAACTCTCTTTACCACTTAGCTAGCTTCTATATCCAAATAATTGCATGTCAATGCTTAACATTAGACATCATACGTCGTCTAATCAAGCCTTTGAAGTTGCTTACAAATACATAGCTTATATTGCAGACCTTCTCAAAGACACTCCTTCTGTAATGCAAGTGATAGAGATTCCCACGAATAAAACCCTACCTTTCAAGCTATTTTAGTTAAGCAATCACATTTTCGGTCGACGTTTTGCTTTTAAAATGATTGGTTGAAATACACAAAGAAAAGATAAATTTCTACAATATCAAACTAATGACGACAATTTCAAACTTTTATTAGACTTTTCCTCATTTTTTGCGAGCGAGCGACACATTTTCTTTCGCTTTATGTTAGCAGCAGGAACAATATTTTCGCTTTTTTTTCTGACATCATTTATTAATTTTACAGCAAAACTATTACAGTTTTTTCTTGGTGTAAGGTTTGCCTTTTAATGACCAATTTAAAAATCTTGCCAACGATAGCATTTCTAGTGTAAAGTTTCCACTACATTTTTCTCTTCCCATTTGTTATTTATATTTCATCGTAAAAGAAACGGAGAATTTTAGTGTTAATAAAATCTTACGACAATCTTATTCTGCTAGATGATGTTTTAATTGATGTACAAATGGTAATCAATTTCGTATTTTTAAAAGATTTCGGTTCAAACAAAAAATTATTTTTAGGAAAAATTTGATAATTATTATTGTTTGCTGTTAATAACTCTGAAATAAAAGAATTCTCGTGTTTCTGTAAAACTTTTCAGTGATTCTTTTAACGTCTAAGCTGTCGAGAACATTTATTTATCGATATCTTCATCAAGGGCAAAGTGCTTGTTTCCGTGAGTTACTCTTTCTCTTAAAAGGGTTAAATAGAAAAATCAAATAAATTTTACTTATTTTCGTTCGTCGAAGTTCATATTTCAGTACTTACTAAACTTGTAACCTTAAAAGTTTGACTAAATTGATGTAATAAATCTGAAGGTATTAAAAAATCTGTTTGAAAAGAAGATAAATATTGGTTCTAATTTTATAACTCACGGCGAAAGTTAAATTTTTGGAATAACTCTTTTAGAAACATTATTTACTGAAGCAGTTTTTTTAACTTAAACTTGACCTATCTAATAATATGCCATCAACTTCAAACTTTTTAATTTATAAGTTTGCTCCAACACTTCACAAACGTTAAAAGTTTATGCACAAAGTAAAATTTTACGATTTAATCAAAAATAATGCATGTATTTTGTTTAAACTTCAACTCCCTCATGCGATTTATTACGGTTTGAAGTAATTGGATTTTGGTAATGTTTTTTATATTGGCACTAACACAATGTTAACAATAAATCTGCTACCGTCTAGCACATTTGTATTTATACTGGAACATAGAACAGGGAAGCAAATTAACTGTTAAACCGGTCAACCGTTCATTCGCAACGACTGTTTATTAATCACCTCATACAGGTGATTTTTGAATGAAAAATTTTTGAATTTTGCTTATCATAAACTTTGTTTCAGATACATTTGTACAGAAGAGTATTCAAAAGTCGGCCAAGAATATGGTGATCTCTACACGAAGATTTTAATGTTCCTACAATACATAATTCCTTCGCTCGTTTTACTCTTTACGTACACCAGCATCGGTGTCGTAATTTGGTGTCATCGCATTCCTGGTGAAGCAGAAAATTCCAGAGATCAACGGATTGCAAAGAATAAAACAAAGGTAAGAAATAGGAATTTTCTTCTTGCTCTTGAAACCAATCACAGCAACTTRATCGCTGACTGAATTCCATTCCACATTGGAGTTTTACATGTTAGACACATTTGTAATGGAATATTTAAATGTGATACGCCATATACATAAAACTCATTATTTACAATAAGGAAATATGTTTTTTTCTTCTTAGTGGAAAGCCAATTTAACCAT